CTTCACAAAGCAGATAGTCAGCAACACAACGACACATGTGGAAGCCAAATGACATCCACAGACTCCTGAACTCTGCAACAGGACTGGAATTTTTCTCAAAAAAGTCAGAAGGGACTTTCAGGCCCCTCAGTCCAAAACTGCCACACAAACTTCTCAATGACTGTCTAACCTTGGAGGCAGAGAGATTTACTCAGGCCCCTCCTGTGCACATTTTCACAGTTCTTGTAGTTCTTCAGATGTCTCATGGTCTGTGTAGCTTGGTGCCTACCTCTTCTGGGCCAAGCTCCACTCAATCAGAGGGGCTGTGGCAGCAAAATCACAGTACCATTCCTCTGGGTGATTTGAATAAGAGCAGAACAAGAGCAGCATGGGCACTTCTGTACAGGCTGCACTAGAAACTGAGAGAGTCTACACATGAACCAGCCAGGGGACAGGAGGGAATATTAAAAGGTCCTGGATTTAATTACACAGGAGGGCAGACAAGGAAGCTGTTATAAAGGAAGCCAGCTTTTGTTGAAATCTGGCATTGACAAAGTGGCAGTCTGAATAACCCCTTGCCTTTTCAGATCCGTTCCTCAACAGGCGAAGGGCCAATGACTTCATCCAGGCTGACACCAGACTGAGAGCCATCACTCAGGAGAGGTATGTCATGGCCTCAGGATGCTGAGCTCGGAAGTGGGAAGAGATTCCTCCTTGCCAAGACAGGCTGTTAGCAGGGGTGGAAGCCATGGTCACTGGTGAAAAGCCTCAGTCCCTCTTTTAATGTGAGGTACCATTTAAGTCCCCAAACCCAGGAAAAGCAAGAATTCAGATAACAAAGAGCAGGTCCTTTGATTTGGAGACATGTCACATGTCCCATGCTGAGAAGAATAATGAATTTTTCTGAAGGAAGCAGCAACAGGAGAGAGAATGAGCGGGGGATGGTCCGAAAGAAAGCTCAGTTTGAGATCTTTTTCTAGTCCTCAGATCTCATGCAGAACTTGCATGACCTTTTCTAAACTAAAGGGCCATCTGAGGGCCTCCTTGCCTCATTTGTAAAATACAGATATAACCAATTTCATGCCTTATTCAAGGCTTGTGAAAATAAAAACTGAAGCACAGAAATCATCTCTTAGTGAGGCATAAGACAAACCTTCTTCTCAGCACCAGGTGACCCCTTTGCAGAATATTTCAGGTCTTTTTTCTATGTATATGTTTGGGAAAGAGCAGAAGAAGAGAGCAGGCTGGGGAAGGCTGCAAAGGGAGGACCCTTCCTCAACTTGAGGCAGGAGCCATTCCCTTCTCCCCACCACCTTACTTAGCCCCTAAATGAAAGGTTGCTTGAGGAGGCAAAACATTCCTGCTGTAGTCCCTGGGTGTGGTAAACACAGAAGCTGGTGTGCTAAGAGCTCTGTACCTGGATGATGGACTCTGATGGTGGATCCTGAATCCAAGTGGGGAGATTCAGGACAGGAAAGGGCTGTAGAGAGATATTTAAGATGACAGCACTTAGCCCTCTTCTCTGCTGCCTTTACAGGATCAGGGAGCGCAGTAAGGCACACCACGAGCATCAGAGGGAGCTCTGCGAGGACTACTACCCTTGTGAAATGTACGCCTTTCGCCACGGCTACCCTGCTGCTTACAAGCACTATTTTGGGGGGAGGAGGAGGACTAAGTAAAGGACGACCTGTCCCCTGACCCTGGGGCCTGGAGTCCAGGGTATCCTCCCCAAAATTGCAATGGCTCTGAAACATACTCAGTTGCTTGTATCCCTGTATGTTATCCTGCCTGCTGCTTCTCTCCCATGTAGCCATGGATTCCTACACTGTGTTAATTAGCGCTGAGCTGATGTAGCAGAGATCACGGAGAGTTCAGGATGTGGGTGTTTACTACAGAATAAATTGCTGGTTTGATACTATCGTGTCATGACTCACAGTATTTTGGAAGGGGGATATGCAATTCTCCATGAAGGAACTGAATTTGAGTATCATACATTCTGTTGCAGATTATGGGGAAAAACTTCATTACCTTGCAAGCATATGACTTTGGAAGAGCCTATAATATTCTTGTTCCCAGTTCTACAAGTAGCTTCTTTCAGAGGTCACTGGACAGTTTCAGCTCCCAGTCTTAATCTAAAAACAGTGGGGTGTTCAGAATGCAGATGCACTTTTTTAAAATCAAATCTTTCTTCAGTTGGGGAAACAAAATCCAGAAGACACTATTTAATCTTAAAGCAAAGTTAGGGTGAGAGTTGGTGACTGAAAAAGTCTGTAAGCTGCTTCTTGTTTATCCAGCTACCATCAGGTCCTGATGTTAGGTGCTCCTTTAGAAAGAAGCGTGTGGTCCACTTGTATTTCTTTTTGCAATCCCCTTTCAAAACCCTTCCACTTGAAACTACTCTGTTAGCACTTGAAAGCTGCAGAAATCAAAGCTGGAGAGGGGCTCCTGGTGGTAAATAAATAGAAAAAGAAATCCAGTGTTTGGGGTCAGGCCCAACTTTGTTTACATAGAACAATTTTATTTGACTGTTCACAAATAATTTGAAACCAAGGTGTGGCTTGACCCTGTGCCCAAGTAACTGAGCCCCTCCTGGACCCCTGAGGAGTGAGTATGGCTGCATTCTGCTCACCATCACCAGGGCCTGTCCCCAGGCCAAAAGGCACCAGTGCTGACATGTCCAAGAATTCCATGCTGATCTGGGCTTGACAGCAGCCACAGCAGCTGGGACAAACCTTGGTGTGATTTGTGTAGGAGACATAACATCCATCTCAGCTCAACACAGATGCTTTCAGCATTCACATCTCCAGGCTTACACAGGCACCTGCAAATTATAGAAGTTGGAAAGATTCATGGCATGCAATCAAAGTCTATGATGTATCAAGTATCACATTGTTGACTAATCTGTGAAATTAAGTCTGGAGCCAAATCTACCTGGCCCATTAGAAACATGCATCTCCTTGCAAAACATGATTCAAGGTCTGCCAGCTCTGAAACTGAATTTGGGAAAGAAATGTGATTTATTTATTGAAAACACTTCTGATAGGCAACTCCACCCTGACAGTTGCTAAAGTTTTGTCCAGAGGAAAAAGTGAGAGAGAAATAATTTTAAGAAAAAAAAAAAAAAACAAACCTGTACAGATTAGGTATTTCCACACACGCTTGCTCTCTATCTTCTCAGGTAGGTGAATCTTGTGATCACCAACTGGAGCAAACTCACATATGCTAAAATCAACAAGTTTGCAGTGTCTGGGTTTGACTTGACACTGTGACACCACTACAACAGAAGGCACAAGGTCTAGTGCTGTCTGGGTCTGTGTCCAGAAATATCCAGTGATTCCAATCCCCAGTTAACCAGTATAAATAATGAATAACACCAGAAATTTCTGTGGGATTTCATTAGCATAAGCAACAACCAAACATATTTAAGAGACTACATGCTGGTTAGAAAGCTTGGGAAAAGACGAGAGGATAAATAAAGCTGTTTGGATTACTAGAATTGTACATTTATATATTTGTATTATTTCAAGTATTCATCTGGAAGCATAGCTTTCCTAGAATACCTATTATTTTTAGATGTTTATTTACTTTTTAACTGTTGCTTTTTTGCTGGAATAATATATATATATATATATATATATATATATATATATATATATATATACATAAAAGACTTTTTGCTGGACGTCATTAGTATATATATTCAGCTTTCCTGGACTGTAGAATAGTTAACAGGGACAAAATTTGGGGTTTATTTTAATCCTGAAAATTGTCTAAGCTAAAAGACAGTGTTTCTAAGAATTGGAAAAATCCCTAATGGCTCTGATTTTCCTTGGGAGCCTCCTAAACTTTACTTCTGTAACCCTGCACATGGGTCTGAAAAGAACTGGATATGAAGTGGAGGAAGATTACATCTTTGCCACCAGAAAGAATGAGCACACTTGATTAAAAAAACCCCACAAACCAACTACCCAAACTTGGTCACCTCCTCTCAGCCAGGAGGAGACCTCATTGCAGTGTTCAACATCCTCCTAAGGGGCAGTGGAGGGGCAGCACCGATCTCTGCTCCCTGGTAATCAGTGATAGTGCCCAAGGGAACAGCTGGAACTGTGTCAGGGGAGGTTTAGGCTGGATATCAGGAAAAGGTTTTTCACCCAGAAGGTATTTGGGCACTGAACAAGCTCCCCAGGGAGCACCAGCCTGACAGAGCTCAAGAAGAGTTTGAACAATGCTCTGAGGCACCGGGTGTGAGCCTTGGGTGTTCTGTGCAGGGCCAGGAGCTGGACTTGGTGATCCTTGTGGGTCCCTTCCAGCTCAGCATATTCTGTGATTCTGTGGTTCCTATGCTGTTTGTGGTAACTTGGGTAGTGGGTTTGGGGAGCGTGGGGTTATTGACACACAGGCCATGCAAGGCTCTTGTCATACCAAGTAACTTCAGCCACTCGGGTCCTGAAGGATAAAACACTTTTGGAGTCCAAATGCCTATTTGACTTTTAGCCAAGAGAAACCAAGATAAAGCTTCTAAAATTATGAAGACTTCCAGGAGAAAAATAGAAAGATCTTCCCTCAAACTAACTTCTGAAGTTCCTAAAAGTATAAAAATCTCATCTCTCCAAAGTGATTTGGTCAAACTGTGCAACTGTCTGAAAAACTACTGTGTTTGCCCTATGCAAAGTGATTTACAGGTTTCTTTACCCTCAGGGTAATGAGTCAAGGTGGGGTGGAGGAAAAGGTCATTATTTTGCTCAGTCTCATTTGAGAAACTCCACATGAGAAAGCCCCATCACATGAAAAGAATTGCTCTACTTCAGTGTGCTGGTCTCTCCCCTGGCTTTCCAGCATGACAGAATGACTTTCAAGTTTGTAAGAAAAATGATTTTTTAAAATCCAGTTGTTTTTCTTCAACAGCCCCATTCAAAACCTCAGATAAAATCTTCTGGAAATGCCCCGAGTCATGAGATGGATGCCAAAATGACTGCCAGGACCCAGTATCTCCCAGCCCACAGGATGGGCTTTGTTTTGGAGCACAGACACAGGAACACAAGCCAGATCCCTGATCTCTCCAAGAAATCACAGCATATAAACTGCTGCCCAAAAGCAAGCCTCGGAGAACTTCAATAACCTCCAGGAAAGCTCTGAGGTTAGGGAGACTAGCACAGCCAAAGAAGACATGAGGAGTCTGCTGGCACTGCTGATCGTGACTCTGGCCCTGGCAGCACTCTGCTGTTGTGAGAAAGGTAAGGGGACATCTTCCCAGGAAGGCTCTCAGAGCACTGCTGAGCCCTGCAGCTTGCTGTCAGCCTCCCTCCAGTCTGGGAGAGGCACAGAGCTCTGGGGGGGAGGAGATGCACCACCAGTCATTGCACAGGTTCAGGTCTCTGTTGGAGAGTCATGGATGAGACAGGGCTTGGGAACAGAGACCCCCATCTTTTGCTGGGCATTTTCTTCCACTGGTCAACACCCACTCACCCCCACCTCAACTGCATATTGAATTGCAGCAGAGAGAATTTGAACATTTTAATATGTTTCAACTGGTTTATAATTTAGTCTCTGTCTAAATGATGGGTGTTAATAAAACCATTTGGGGAGAAACAGACCTTCTATGTAAGTGGGGGGAGCTGGATCTGGCCAGTCACGGGTGGGATTCAGTTACAGAGGAGGATGACTCACAAGCATAGGAGGACTCACTCCTTTCTGTCTGTCTGTCTGTCTGTCTTCCAGATCCCAAAGAACCCTCAGGATCTCTCAGTACTGACAGTGAGTATATCATTCTGACTGATGCTCGGCTCCATTCTCCTGCATCTGCCTCCCTTCTTCCCTTTGGCAGGTTCAGGGGCTGAACAAGAGCCATTCTGAGCCCCTCTCTGCTCTTCCCGTTCCTCTCCCTATTCTGCAGTCCCTGAGGGGCAGCAGCATGGCTCTTGTTCAGCCCTTGAACAAGAGCCCCCCCCCTTCCTGAAAGGGAGGGGCTTCCTTGGCTGCTCCTGAGGGCTGCAGTCCCTCCTCTCAGGTCACCTGGGATGCTGGGATTTTCACACCTTGGGTTGTTCACAACTTTTGTAGCAAGCTGATCCTGGCAGAAATATGTATGGAAAATCCTTTTTGTTCTCTCGTGTCTCTCCTTTCTCACACTTTAAAGGATAACATTGCTGCCGAGAAGCATGAAAGCTGGTATTTTTCCAGTGAGCCAATACAAACACAGATTGTGAAAGAGAAAAAAACACTTAAAGACTATTCAGGGAAAGGTGGTAGTTTCTGACAATTCATTACCTGGCAGTTTCTGTGTAGTCAGTATTTTGATCCAGACTAAATCTCAGTTTGCTAGAGACAGAATACCTCTCACCTCCAGAGAAACACAGCCAATCACTCCATGATGATGAGGGAAAGGACAACCCCCACCATCTCCCCACAAGCAGAGGTCTTAGAATCTTTTTTTTCCCCAGAGACAGCAACAATTTGGCAGTTTCCATGCTGAAATGTGCATTGGTGTGCTGCTGCCTGTGCTGCTGTTGTGCTGGCACCTGTGCACACCTCAACATCCCATGGAGCAAGGTTGTGCTGTGCTAAGCCCTGGCTTGGGCTGGGAAGTGGCTGTGCCTGGTGTTTGTGGGGTCCTTCACAGCGCCATGGTGTTTGCACAATAACAAACCAAGGGAGCAAAGAAGCAACTGTGCACACATGATGTGCTAGTGGAGAGCAGGGGCAAAGGCTCTCATGGCTGAAACATATCTTATGTTCTCCACATTCTGAATGCTGGGGTCTTTGCACATCTTGGGTGTATTTCTCACTGGGTGATGTTTACTGTCACTATTTTATACTCTTCACCTTTCACAGAACTCTGTACATGTGAGCACTGGTATCTCTGTGTGCTGCCTGTTGCTCATGGCTCACTGGAGGTGTTTTAAGGTCTTCTGGTTGGCATCCCACATCCTTCTCAGTCAGAGCCCAGGCACAGAAAGGAAGCCAAGACTGAAATTAAGTAGGCCAGGGAAAGAGGGTGCCATTCTCCTAATTTTCTTCTTATTCATATTTTATGCCTTCTGCACATTTGCTGCAGACTCGGATTATGCTGTGTGATAAGGAAATGGAATTTATAACAGAAAAAGCCCTTGCTCCATGGAGACGTGAAGGCTGCAGTGACGAGGGAGCTTTGAGTGGACAGTGGGATGGGGAAAGATGAATGGGCCATTAGGATGGTTTGTGGCAGTCATTTGCTTGTGAAGAAAGTAGATTTTGCTTTTCAGAGGTTGGACTGCTCTGTGTGTTTCAGTGCTGCATCTGTAACCTACTGTGTTCTCTCTTGGCAGGCATCAAGATTAAAAAAGAAGTTGCCAATGCCTTTGTGAAGAGGAGGAAGAGAGCCAGCCCTTACGAATGGTAACACTCAGGAGCTGGGCTGCGAGCTGGACTCTGGACCTGTTCTGAAGAGGGGGTGGGAAGGCCATAGGGCATGACAAGGCATTATTTTGTTGTACAGCTATGTTACTACCTTCATGTGTTGAAGGAAAAAGGCTGTAGGAGACATTCAGTAATGGAAAAATGGTTCTTTTTTCCATTAAAACTCATTTGAAGGCTTATAGCTGGACTCTAGTCTTCCTCCCAGGGAGAAAGATAGCATTAAGTGTGCTAGCCATGGAGACTGTGGGATACAAGGTAGAAGCTGCTCCAACCTACAGGGTCATCAGAACCAATTTTTAGGATAATGACAATCATAGAGCCTTGGTCATTGCCTCTGGTTTCCCACAAAGGAATGGCTTTTCCCACAACTTTGTTGGAGGAATAAGGCTAGATCAGAATGTCTGTTCTTTCTGAAGCTGTAGAACATATATTTACTTGTGCAGAAAGTAGACACAAAGATTTGAAGAAATCCCAGCTATTTGAGAAATTTCAGGTAATGCAAGGAAGTCCTTCATACATTTCCTGGAAGAGGTTGCTAAGTTACTCTTTCCAATACAGAAATCAAGGAAAAATTAATGACGTACTGGCGGGATTTCTGTGGTGGTGTGTAAAGTCTTTAGGAAAGATTAACCAAACATAGAAGAGGAATGGAGAATGACATCCAAAGTGTACTGCTGAGACTGTGTACTTTGGATGTACAGTAAAAAAAATTGGACTTTCTTATCCTGGCAAAAAAGAAAATAAAAAAACTACATAGGGATAATACTCCTGTCTACAACAGAAGTGAGAATTGTTAGAGAAGTGTTTAAGCTAAAGGAAAATAATGGCGAGTGGGCAAAAATAAAGGTAAGCAGGAAATAATAAAATAAATATATAATTAAATATATTTTTAAAAATATTTCTGGTAGTTGGGGAATGAGATTGAAGAAAAAAAAAAAACCAAAATCCCAAATCCTTACAGCTTCTGTGATATCCTTTGCTGATAAAACCTCAAGAGCAATTGATTTAAGTTGGGTTCAATCCCATATTTCCCAGCATTGATCAAGTAGCCTAAGCCTGTGTAAGCAGATGTTTACCTCAGCATGACCAGTCCTCTGCTGGGTCTCCCTGGAGGACTGCAGGGAGCAATGCTTCAGAGGATCACTTCTTTCAGTGTCAGGTGTATGAACTGTCTCCAGTGCATTGGCTGAAAGTGCAGAATGACGTCTCCGTCTCCTGCAGGTACTTGGAGTATTACAAAAGTCCCATGGAGCAGATGCACGAGCGCTGTGAGAACTACCCCCCCTGTGACTATCTCTCTGACCAAGTAGGGTTTGCCTTGGCCTACAACCGCTTCTTTGGGAGATACTGACGAGGGGAAGGTCTCTCCGCTCGTTTGGCTTGGAACACTCCAAACCCCACAGGAGAAAGAAGCTGTGGTTGGGAAAGAGGGAAGGAAAACATCTGGACTGGCATCTTCTTCTGTTGTCTCCCAACCAGCTGGAACACCAAGGCAGGGATTATCCCACTTGTTGAGCTTCCATTAACTTTCTTCCTTTCATCAATAGTCTCTTTTCAAACATATTTTGTGGTATTTTGAGCTTCACCAGAAGACTTTGTCTTATTTCCTTCCACCTGAATCCCCAGCATACAATATGTGGAAAATAGGGATTAGTTTCAAGAAAACCACTGCATGCCTTAGAAACATCACTAGATCTCTTATCCTCTTCTGCAAAATACAGGAGGATTATGGAAGAAGAATGTCACAGTGTGTGTAAATGTGATGGATCTGATTCTGGGATGCTCGCTGTGAAGAAGGAAGAACAGCTGCCTCCTGTTCCAATTAGTGGGAAAGTTCAGTATTTTCATGTAGTATAATCACATTAAATATGCATCACAGTAGGATCATTTGTAAAGATAGAAGTGTGCATACTCTTGCATAGATAGCAATCAGCTTCTGGTACACTTTTCTGATTATTCTGTCATAAAAATTTGCTGTATAGTAACAATAAATAAATCCCAAAAGGTGTGTTTAAGGAGTCCTTTTAGATGAGCCCTTGCATTTGTGTGCTACTTTTCGTGACTGTAAAAAGAACCCTCAAATTCTCTTGGTTTTTCTCCTTTTTTGGGTTTTTTTTTTGGGTTTTTTTGGTTTTTTTCTCCCAACCAGCTTCTAGTGAAACTAAAAATACCCAGCAGAACAAAAAAAAAAAAAAAAAAAAAAAAAAACCAAAAAAAAACCAAAAAACAAAAAACCAAAAAACTGACTTCTCCTCCGTTGCTTCTGCATTTGTGCTTGAAACTAGAAGCATCTAAACAGCTAAAATTTTTTAAAAAGAAGAAACTGAAGCTATAACCATTATGAAATTAAAAAAAAAAAAGAAAATTGGTTCAAGGATGGATTGAAATTGGGATAGTGTTTTGTTTATTCAAAGCAATTGGTAGTTAAATATACATATATATATATAATGTACATGTATTTTTATCTACATATTGTCTTCCCTCTGCACTGCTTCATTCTGTCCTCTGGTATTAATATTATACCTTAGCATCTTTCTGCATGACCTTGCTAATATACTGTGTCAGCTTTCCTTCCCTGAGAGGCGGACAGCAGATCACACCTCCGAGGACAGGGACTGCGGGTGCTCAGGAAACTGGCAGAGACCAAAGCTCTGGTTACTTGTAAGCTGGTGCAACCATCCTCAGCTGCTCATTGCAATAAATACTGCACTGTAAAGCAGGTTGGTGTGCTGCTTCTTTCTGTTCCTCTGTACTTTCACCTGTGGTAAAAGAGATGCCTGGAAGGCACAGTCTCTTTTGTGAATCCTGATGAGCAGGAACCCAGTTGCTGAGGCTTCCTTCTCCCCTGCCATGCCCCAGAGTGAATCAGAAATGATGACATTGAAATTTAGGTCATAGGTTCAGCACTCTATGACATTGAGGGAGAGGAGGGCCAGGATTTGCCCGACTCACCATGTACCCAGATCAGCATTTCTCTGAAAGCCTTGTCATGAAGTAAGGACACAGGAGAAGTCTGCAGAGGTGGCTGCCAGTGTGAGCCTTGCTTGGCAAGCTGCTGTGGCTTGCACTGCTGACGCTGGTCTTGGCCAAGGAGAAGACACTTAAAAAATATCTCTGCATATCTTGGTTAAATGCCTGTGACTGGTTCCTTTATTGACATAAAATAATGGAGCTTCACTGCTCACAGTAAAATTCTACTCTGAATGCCATCTAGTAAAAATTAACAGAGTGCTTTATTGAAAACAGTGAAATTTTTGCTTGGAAAAATACTAGAGAGATTTGCAGAATCCTAATATCCAGTGCACTAATAAAATAGGGGTGTTGTGGTTGTTGTATGGGTTTGTTAGCACAAAAAGTTTCCTGTCTCTATTTGCATCTTTCTGCTAGTTTTATATTTTTTCTCTCCCTTTCAGTAAATATTTTTTTCAGGCAAAAAATGTTACACCCGGAGGCCTCCATTATGTCATCTGCTCTGTGTCATCAGATCTCTTCATGGGCTGAAGTCATTATGACCTTTGGGGATCTGAGCAGTCGGATCACGTTACAAATTTACTGCTGAAATGGAGGAATTCGATTGTTGCTTGGTTAATGCAGCGCTGAGCACCGCCACAAATCCTCTGCTGCCATCTTTCGGCATTTGCATTTAATAATAACTTGAGTTGCTTCTGAAGCATTTGAAAATGCAAATTCTTGTCCTCCTGATTTCCTTAATACTAAACTTTCACTTACAGATTAGAGGGGAAAACCAGGGACATAATTTACAAATGGATTATATGCAGCTGAATTGACATTTTAGTGGGGGTGTTTATCACGACTGCCAAGCTCCCAAGGGAGTTTAAGTCTGTTTTATCTCTACACAAACAGAGGTGAAGTTACCTCTGAATAAATTTGTGAGCCTTCCTGTGGACTCACTTTTCGCAGTCAAACAACCACTTTCTGAAATACAGCCCAAGATAACAGAGACATTCCAGGTTGTTTGCATCCATCACTTCATGCACTTCATGGCATCATCTCATGTCTCCAGCAGCAACCACTTTGAAAGGAGCCCAGTAGGACCTGGAGGCCCAGGTGACCTTTATGTCACCTCCCACCATATCTCAGCAATATTTTGCAGATGCTCTGTCCACAGAATCCAAGCAGCTTCACAAACCTCCCTCATCTCAGGGAATCTCTCCATGTCTGGAGGTGCCCTCCTCACCCAAGCTATCATTATCAGGCCATGGAAAATGGGCTTCACTTTTCTCTAGTCAGAACCAAAGCCTTGACTATTTTCTTGGCTCTTTTTCCATACAGAAGAGTTATCAGGGGCCACGGGGCTCTGTGGGTGAATAACTCACTGCCAGTATTTGGAAGGGTGTCTAGAAGGCAGCTGCTAGAGGAAGGTTTGGCTCAGCACAGAATCTGCATTTACACACTCATTTTGCCTGTGCCAATGTACACAGCCCAGCGAGCTGCCACTCTGCAGTGCTGTAGGAGGAGGATTGGCACACATGAGTAGAAAGCAGGGCGTGATAAGGAGGAGAAGGAGAGTTAGGTTATCGCTGCTTCCAGATGGGATCCCAACCTACCCTGCATTTCTGTGTTGGCTTTATCAGAGTCAGCTTCTTTAAAAGGGCTTTTGAACTCTTAACCAGGGAGCAGTCACCCTGACACACCTCTCCTCAGGAGAAGTGCCTTAGTCTCCTCCAAGCCACGGTTTCAAAAGAACTGTCAAGGTGACGGACACTCATGCCAGCTGAAGTTGGTGCAACCAGACACTTTCTTATGGATTTTGGGCACATTTCTACCAGTAAATTGTCTGCTTGGATTGATTAATGACTTCTGAATTGCAGTGAGAATTTGGTGAATGATCTCTGGTGGGAGAATGGCCACCAAAACCTGAGTGCAAATTACAAACTGCAGAATTTTCCAGTTCAAAGAAAAACAGGAAGAAACAGGTGCAAATTATCTTTCCTTTAAAAAAAAATGTTCTTTACAGTGTCTTGGGTGGACTCTGGGAAGCTGGTGACACTGGGCAGCCTCCTGTTGCTGATCTTCTCACAAATACTGGTAAAAGAGGTAAATATTGCTCTTTATTTGAAATAATGAAATTTCTTATACTAAAGAAATTTTTTTTTCCATTTGAAACATGTTCTTTAAGGAGTTTTGGGCTCAATTTTGACTTTTTTGCTTTCAGTTCCCTTGTTCCCTTTCTTACCTGTCTTAATTTTAGTTACTTGGTTGGAATTTTCCTCCTGTTTGCAGCTAGGTGATTTCATAGAGTGTTTGTGAGTAGATCTCATGGAGTCTTTCCTTTTCCAGCCTGTCTAAATTGACCAATGCTCCTGGGAGATTCTAATGTAGCACATCCATATCAAATGAGAACTCCATCATCCTGACCTGTGGTGGTGTATAGACAATAGCCTGAGGTTGCTCAGGAGGGTTTTGCTAAGGATTTGCTACCTGCCTTGCTTGCTCTGCCAATAATGACAAAGAGGCAAGGAAAGGGTAGAGAAAAACTCGGCTTGTATCCACAAAGATACCCAAGAAATTCACACTTCTGATGCTAATCCTCATTTGCTTTTATGTTGCAGGCTATGTCCCCCATCCTGATGGATATGGCTCTGCATTCCTTTGATGACCAGTATCTGGGGTGCAGAGAGGAGATGATGGAAGAACTGGAGCAAGGAGACTATTTTCAAAAGGAAATAGCTGCTAACAAGGACTACTTGCGTCTCTGGAAGAAGGCTCAGGAGGCTTTGCTGAAGAGCCCTGTAGGTCTGCTGAGGGAAATGCGTGCCAGCCATGCCACTGTCCTCATGGCTTACACCATGAACTCCTCCCTGCACTCGCAGCTGAACTGGGCTACATCCACAGCAGGAATCTCTCCAGAGCACTACAGACACAACTTCAGCTTTAAATATTTTCACTTCTACCTAACAACTGCTATCCAGATATTAAAGGAATGGCAGATCAGCATGGGGGAACATAAGTGCTACCAGGTGCACAGGGGTGTAAAGGACTTGTATATCGAGGCCAAGGTAGGCAGCAGGGTGCGATTTGGCCGTTTCACTTCTACCTCCCACCTCAGGAATGAAGCCCAGAAGTTTGGGAACGAAACTTTGTTCACAGTGACCACTTGCCTGGGAGCAGCTGTGCAAGGCTTTTCTTACCACACATCTGAGAAAGAAGTCCTCATTCCCCCTTATGAGATATTTCTCGTCAAAAGCTTCCTTCAAACCCAGCAGGGCAACCGGCTGCATCTGCATTCTGTGGGGAACTACAGCAAGTACCAGTGCCAGCTGGTGGAAGGTATTGTACACAGGATCTCATGCAAGGGGGCACAGGACAGGCTGGTCCCCAGTGCCCCAGGCAGCCCCCACCAGCAGCACCCACGCGGGGCCACACTCAAGGGCAAACCTGTAGCTCACCCCTTGTGTTTGCCTACGAGATCCACAAGACCCAGCTTTACCTGTTTGCTGTGAAACCTGGGACAAACCCACAGCTCACTAAAGATGGATCAACAGCAGGTCTCAAGGTTCTTTGCAGCCCCCATTTATCCCAAGTGTCGTTGCAAGGATGTTGCAGGACTCATGCCTTTGTGTCCCCAGCATTGTTATTGCAAGGGTGGGTGAGATGTGCTTGAACCAAGTAATCTATGCTTGTGTCTTGCAATGTTGCTATACTTCAAGTTTCAGGACTATTCTAGGCTTTGGTCCATTACTACTCTGGCAAGCTACTGCTTCTACACTTATCTCTGGCAAGCTGAGAGAAGCGTAAACAAAGCTGCTGTCACTTTAGCAGTGACCTCTCTCCTGAGGCAGCAGGGAGAAAAGGTATCCTTTGACAAAGAACACTGAGTTTCCTGGTTATAGAGAGAGCTCTATGCTGGAATACCTCATGGGGCCTGTTTCACATCCCTGCCTTTCTGTGAGTCTACCACCAGTCCAGGACTCTTGCTTTAGTCTCTTTGTTCAGCAGTGTGTCAATGTGATCTTTGAGCTCAAAACAATCATTTAGGAATGAGGGTTTGTGCCTCCAAAGCCAAAATAATAGGTAGAGTTGAGAAAATGGCCTTTGTGGGCAAAGGTTGTGTTAGCAAAACTAAAAAGCTTTAGGCAGTGAATAGACATCTACATGACTGCTCTCTTTATTTTCTTTCAGCTTCAAGAAGCAAGAACAGTGGTTATACTGCACTCGCCTCTGCCATTCTCCCTAGTGTGCTTGGAGTTTCCCTGTGCTTGGCCCACAGTCTCTGATTCTCTGTCTGCATCCAATTATGTGCCCTTGAATAGCAGGCAAGAAGCCTGTGGGATTGAAGAAGGTTCAATCTTCCCTTGCTTTCAGCTGCAACTCTGCAGCTGAGACTGGAACATTCAGCCTGTTTCATCAAAACAGACATTCCCTGGACCCATTCAGGTAGGAAGAAGGTTATCTATGGCCTTTCTGAAGACTAGATCAGGGATAACCTTCACTGAAGGCAGCTTTGTCCTGAGGCATTCGGGAAAGACACACAGGGACTTTGGACTCCTTACAGATCTCTTAATACCTTTATTTTCAGTGAGAAAGAGTCAGTCTGCGGGATGTGGAAGGCACCATGGCAGTAAATTCAAGTGGGTAACTGGGCAGCTGTGCATATCTCCTTTGAGAGCAGGGAAAGTTGGCGCCAAGATGTGCATCAAGGAGTCGGATTATTGTGTTGGTTGAAGAGACAGAGAAGTGCATTAAGTTGTGCAGATTCTGGCAGACCCTGAGCAACCTTTCTTTGCCACTCTTAAAAACAAGATGAACTAACATTTCTGGAGTGGTGTCTGACTCTGAAAAGCAAACAGAGGAAATCCAGAAGGCATTATTACAGGGGAATTACAGAGGAATAAAGGTGGATATATTTTTGGCTAGATTGTTACATTTCTGAAATCAATTATCCAAACTGCTAACCCAGCTGACCCATTCTTCCCCAAGACATTAGTTGGAATAAAACATAGAAAAAGTTCTTGACAGCCTTTTCTGGGACTTTACCAAGCAGCCAGCAAAATATGGTGTAAACAGCTGCAAGTATTGTTACTCTGATGGCTGCAGGAAGTATGACTTTGTGCTGAAATCTTCAAAGTAAGGGAAGTGCTGTAAATTAATTATTCTTACATTTTGGTGGGTTTTGGTAAATTTGTGGAAGTCCTAGAAAATAAGTACTTTACATCATCCTCAGAATTATAATCCTTCAGTTTGTATATACTGGTGGATCTACACAGAATTGAATTCCCATTTTTGGGTGTGGGAATAGCAAAGTCAAACGCATGACATCTACATTCAAGCAACAAAGCAATTGAAGACTGAGTAATGCCACGTTTTGTCAGGCTACAGTTCCCTTAAAAGTGATTTATATTAGTCAGTTAATACACTGACTACATGCTGTAAGCATCCCTTGATAGGTGGAAGCACAAAACATACTCCTTGCTTGGGTGCCCATCATGCCATTTTGACTGCTAAGAAAGTTATGTCCTTCTGCTTGCACCTCCGAGTTCCCACAAGGCCAACTAGAGATACAGTCCTGGGATAGTGTGCAGCTCAGGGACTGCTCCTGATGTTGCCTTGTGCCAGAGCCCTGTAAAGCTGGACTGTTTGCAGCAGACATGTTTCATCAGCTATTGCTGTGGTTAGATGTGTAGTCAGAAGTGTTCAAGCAATTGCAACTTCCTGTCCCACTGTGTACTTTTAAAGACTTTTTTTTCAGAACTCAGTTCAACCATCTGCCTTTTCCTCCATTTCTTTCCCATGCCAAAAGGGATCTGAAATGGCAAAACTGATTTTAACCTTTGCTGCAGTTCAGAGCTGAGTCTGGGTCTCCACACCACTTCTACTCTCATGGCATCAGAGACCTGGCAAATTGCAGCAAGGAAGGATGACAGACACCCCAGATCAAGTCTTTTCCTCCAGATTAATAGGCCTGCAATAACAGCTGTTAATCCTCCCAAAAGATCCAGAGTAAAGCAGGAACAAAACTGTCTTCAAATTATTTTCTGTCTTGTTCCAAATGATGAGGGTTCTAGAAGAAAAGGATTTGCATCCACTGCAAACACAGAGGACCTGAAATCAGTTTCCAGAATGTGACACACAGGCAGTTGCCAGCCTGATCAGTTCAATTCAGTTCAATATCACACAAAGTATTTCAGGACTACATGGCATTCTCAGTGGAAAACACTCAGCAGTCACAACTAATTGACATTTCCAGAACTATAGCAGTTAAATCATTTAGTGTTCTCTTTCAGCTTATGTTCTCATGCCCACAGCTCTGACAATAAGAAAGTTTGGCACTCTGACTGTATTCATTGGAGTTGAATACAGCAGCTCAGCTTTCAGGTGAAAACACATCAGCAATTGCAAAGTACACATTTTATGCTTCATCTTATATTTTCATCCAAGAACTTAGCCATCCTCTGCGGTGGAAGCAGTGTTCCTAGTGAGACCCTTGTGGGCTGCAGGTCCACTTCCTAAGGACAAGAGCATGAAAGATGTCTAGCTTGGTTGAAGGCATATGTACAAGCTTGTCTTACTGGACTGTTTCCACTCTCTGTGGTGTCTATTTTTCTGTTTATGTGGGACCATTCAATTTTTTGCAATGACTGCTCTTGTACAAATTACAATTTTGTAATTTGTACAAAAGCAGTCATTGCAAAAATTCATTATTTCAAGGCCTAGGTGCAAGCATTAATGTTTATATTTATAAACAATAGAAACCAGTAAAAAACATAGTCTTGTATCTATTTGAATTAGAAGTGCTGTCCTACACCTCTTATGTTCTGAGGATAGCAAGTAACACCATCCCCTTTCAGCCATGGCTGTAGTTGCCTGTGATGGCACCTCTGCAGCAGGCAGGAGGGATTTGTGCTGTACCCATTCTCTCCAGGAACAGAAAGCCTTTGGAGGATCTAGTAATTGGGAACTAGCATTGAGTAAACTGAATTCTCTTAAAATTGGAAGGAAGGGGAGAGGAGGAAGAAAATGAGATGAATCTGGGTAAACATCACACAATAGAATTAATGACAGGAGGCAGGCACAGGATGCAGCTGAAGCCCAGCCTCCGGATGCCTAACTCATCACATGCTGCTGGAAAACACCAGCCAAGCAGAGGGGAAAGAGGCTGAAGTTACTGTCCCATACACATTTCAACAGCAGCATTCAGACCAAATCAGGTAGGCAGTGTAAATGTTTAATTACAAAAGTTGCTGTGGTAAATCTCCCTGGAGCTGGAGAAATAGAAATACAGAAATATATGTGGCCTGCCTAATTCTGAAAGGAAAATATAAAAGCTGATGAAAGTGCTAATGTGAAGAGTAAGAAGTAATTTTAGCATTAGGAGATATAAAATCTAGAGCAGCTGTAAAAAGCTGAAATAATCATTTGTAATGAACAGATTCTAAAAGCATTCTCCACACCTGTCTGGTATGTAAAATGTTTGTTGAAGTGCTATTCCTTCTAAAACAATTTGTCTTCTCAGTCTCTACCAATAAGGGAAAACAAATGACCTTACAAAAAACCAGCACTGGAGTGGAAAGGTTTTAGTATCACACTGAGTCAGAAAGCAAGCCAGCAACACCCCTGAGGCAGGATTGATATGAAATCATTGCCTGCATTGTCATGGCTTTATGTTTCCAGAAAATCACAAACCTTTACTGTATATGTATTTGGCTCCCTACAGCTTGTATAAGATGTGTTAAGAGGTTTATTCTCTTGGCAGAGATACAAGGTAAGTGGCTGAAAGAAATATACAGTACTGTGTAAAATATTGGGGGAGAAAAACTCTTTTCAGACTGGCTTGTGTTTCAACGCTGAGATTAAAAATTGGCAGGGGATTGTGGAAATCATTCTGGTTCTCTACAGTGACCTTGTGGGGGAGGGTGTGTTTAGTAAAATACAGCTGGGTCTGTGTCAGATGATTTGCAGCTAACAGATAGTGCAAGAACTACAAAGGACCAAAATGGCACAAAGGTATCTTTTTAAGAAGAAAAATCTGGGTAGTCCCCTACACATAACTATCTGTAGCTCTAACTGTGATATGTAGCACCAACAGCAAGAAGAAAAACATCTTAGAAAAATGCAAAGCATTGCACAAAAGTGGCCCAGATTTGCAATAAGAGGGCTGAGACCATGAAAAGTACCAGCAAAGAAATGAGTCATCCTACTCATTCATAGTTTGCCCCTGTAGCAAAGATGTTTGCATTTAAGCTGAAATCATGCAAAAGCATTTTCACTTTGCAGCTGGTGATAGGTTAAAGGGAAGGGACAGTGTTGATTACAGAATCTCAGTGATGAGGAATTCCTCCATGATCACTGTAAACTCAGTCTCTTTGGACTCCACGTTGGCATGCAGTTTATGAAGAAATAAATGTCAGGGAAGGAAATACAGTGAGAGATGTATGTAAGGTGATATAGGTTAGGATGGGGTTATTATAGACAATTTTACTACTCACTATGAATTCAGAGGTTA